TCTCTCAAAAATGCCTACCGTAAACGTAGATAAAAAAGAACTTTATCAAGCTCTTGGAAAGCAATATAGTAAGTGGAGGCGACGACTAATAGAAAAGTTTGTAAACTCTAATAATGTTTTACTAAAGAACGCTTTCATTGACTATTTGTCTTAACCTGTTCTTTTTATTCTTAGCCACGGAGGAATTTCGTGATCTATGCTTTGATTTTGGAATTGAACTTGAAGAAGACGTACGAATGCTAATTTTTTATATTAAATCAACATTTCATAATGTGACAAATGAAATTAACCTTAGTTATTTACTGGCTTAAGCTAGACTTCCGAAAAAGAAATTGTCAGTAAAGAGGTTGGAATAACCAAAGCTGAGGGATTATCAGAACGAGCAATTTTAAAGATCGATATCCCATCTAATAGGTGAATAATCTATCATAAATAAAAATATTTGAACGAATGGATTAAAAATTTACAAGAGATTATGTCTGTGCTTTGTTGCATTGAATGTTTTTTAGGTACGACCTTCTTTGTCATGAGGGTATTTCGCGAGCCTTACTAATTTTTCAAGAAAAGGCAAATTCACCATGCTATAAACTTGTTGAACCAGCGGATGAACAAGTACAAATATTGATAAAACCTGAGGTGTGTGCAATGAGGGAAGACAATATAATAACCTTATTAAATGATAACTTACATTAGTATTAATAATTCTGGTACAGACTGCTCGAATACGGCCTTATGTTGTTGGCGCTGTTCTTCGGAATATAAAATTCACCGAAAGAAATTACAATAACTTTATTGATTTACAAGATAAATTACATAACAATATTTGCAGGTATTGAGTCTTTAAAGTTAATTTGAAAAAAAAGTAATACAAATTGGATTAACAAAACTTCTTTTTTTATATAGAAAACGGACTTTGGTCGCAATTGGAACTCATGATTTCGATACTATCAAAGGTCCTTTTACTTATGAGGCACTTCCACCAAAAGAGATAAAGTTTGCACCATTGAATCAGACAAAAGAATTAGATGGAGAGGAATTAATGAACTTTTATACGGTAACCGAAAAAATTATTTTTGATAAAACAATTCATAATGAATGTTTATTAATATAATGTATTTACAAATTAAATTAATAGACCGATAAACATATTGGAAAATTTCTTCACATAATCCGGGATTCACCTGTATATCCTGTAATCTATGATACAAACAGGAATGTTTGTTCTTTGCCTCCAATAATTAATGGTAATCTTTCAAAGATTACATTAAATACGAAAGATGTATTCATTGAGTGCACTGCAACCGATTTGACAAAGGCTAAAATTGTTTTAAATACTATGGTCACAATGTTTTCTGAGTACTGCGAACAGCAATTCACGTAAGTTTTGATTTATATTTTATCGCCTTTTAAATAATTATATTATGCTAGGAAATTTATTAGTCTATAAATTTAAAGCGTCGAGCCTGTTAAGGTTATATATCCTGATGGGACTCAACATATTTATCCGGATCTTTCTACTCGTACTATGACAGTGAAAACTGATTATATTAATGCCTGTACGGGATTGAGACTTGACACTTCAGAGATAATATCTCTCTTAAAACGTATGTCGCTTTCTGCTGAACCTGTAAACGAAGAAGCTAAAATCTCGGTTGAAGTGCCACCGACTAGAGCTGATATTTTACATGCTTGTGATATAATGGAGGATGTCGCTATTGCATATGGTTTTAATAAAATTCCAAAGACTTTACCAAGTTGTGTGACAGTAGGTAAAGCATTGCCTATTAATAAATTAAGTGATCTTGTAAGAAAAGAAATTGCATTGGCTGGTTGGACAGAAGTTTTGCCATTAATTTTGGTAAGTGAAACTAAGAATCAATGCTGTATACACCAGCAGAAATAATTCAATAACAATGACTTAAAATTTTTAATAGTGTTCACACGAAGAAAATTTTGAATACTTAAATAAGAAGGATGACAACCTTACTGCAGTGAAATTGGCGAATCCTAAAACTATAGAGTATCAGGTCGTTCGTACCTCGCT